AATAAACCATTTCAGAATAAACCATTATTCTATTTATTTATGTTTTTTTTTTTTTTTTTTTTTTTTTTTTTTTTTTTTTTTTTTTTTTTTTTTTGATAACAATGAACTAAATAACAATAAGAACACGGATTGCCAGCATTGGCACAGTATTGAAATATTAAAATTCGCTAACTACATATTTAAGGAATAACTGTCTTATTTTTTGGATTCATGATGTGATCAATCGAGTGGCTTGCGTGATAATTTGCATAAACGCCGAAGGCGTTTATGCATAAAATTATCACGCAAGCCAATCGATTGATCATCGTCATGAATCCAAAAAATCTGACAGTTATTCCTTATATTTACATGCTCCTGATTCTGCAAATTCCCGTGCTAATAGCCCCGCTTCTGTCTCTATTTGTCCCGCCCTGCACGTGATTTTTTTTAACCGCGCCTATCGATGAACCAGTAGATTTATGTAGAAATAAAGTATTTTTACAATTTGTAATTTTAGCTCGGACAAAGACATTGGAAATGTAAATATATAATTATATAGGGCGTATAAACAGGTGTTGACAGTTTATTTATTTCTTTTTTTAAATCCCAAATCTTTTTGTTTGTCTCTAATAAATATCATTATTGATTTAAAGAATTGTTGCGTATAAAGGATAAAAAAAGAAGAGTTTAGTTGGATTTTATAGATTTTCCCCATTGTTGTTATGTTTTGGCTATTCATAGTATTGGATAGGATATTAATTTCATATTATCAGCCTCCATGAATGTAAGCATGGCTAAGATTTGTTGGTGGCGGTTAAAAATCCCTATTTCTTCAACAATGCTCTCTGTATGCTGTTTGCATTGACCTTCATTAATACTTTTGATATGCATAGCTGCCTCAGAATTAAATTTTTAGAGAGATAACTGCCAACAATCCTATAACTTTCAACTCTGCGAATTGAACTCTTGTCATAATCTTTTCTTTGGTTATCACGAATTCAATATCAGTATCCAACCCTTCGATACTCAGTATATTCATATTTTAAATCTTGACATACTACAAAAAACATATAATATTTAATTTTCATTATATACATTGCATGTAAATTTTAAAGAATCGCTGGAGAGAATGTATGTCACCTAGGAAGAGGGGTAGACGAACTCCTAGAAGGCTGACACATTGAAATTAAATTTTTTTTAAACCACTAGTACTTACAATATTTTTTTTTTAATTTATTTTTATCAAGTTTAGATCCAAGAAAAACAGATATGTTTTAGGACTGAACATCATGTCAAAACTTCTGCTTTTTCCGCTCTCTTTGTGCTTGTGAAATGCCCAGGAAACAATAGTTATTTGACGAACTAAGATCTATTTGATTTTTAAGTTTCTACAAGGAATAAATTCCGCTATGACAAGTGCATATATACCAAGAGCCCATCACCCAACATCCTGTGCACAATAGTAACTGAACAGATGACCATTACAATCTTATCATATAACTGTAGCTGCAGAACTGTAGCGTTATGGTTTTATATTTTAGTTTTTGACCATAATTATGGTTAAAGACTAAAATATAAAACCATAACGCCACAGTTCTGCAGCTACATATAACTGGAGTTCTTAACCTATTTCTGATTTTGATCAAATTCTTAATTTTCTTTTATTAAAGTTTTTTTAATCGCTGCTCGTTATAAATCAAATTTTAAATTTTGAAATATACTTTTGTTGGAATCCTATTTTTGGTTTCTGGAACAAGCTTACTAATTTGAGGCAAGAGCCCAGAGGGAAAAAAGCTTACTTTAATAGAAACAACAAAGATACTATTAATACCGAGTCGTATAATGTTCTTTGAGATGTGTGTCAAACGGTCGTTTCTAAGACGTGAACAAGCCAGAATCAAAAAGCTCACTCGAGTAGTCCGGGGGATGCTGCGCTTCCTGATCTTTGCAAATCATTATCAGAGAACGACGAGGTTGGCAAGGCGCTTCCGAAATCTCTCAGCGTGGGAAAGGATCAATATGGAGCCCGAACATTGTTCATTTTTAATCTGAAATGTCATCCAGATTTATGCATTAGATCTGTATGACATTCTACAAATGTTAAAAAATTGTTTTATATTAGCATACACACTGAAAAAAGATAATTAGATAGGAGTGTAAATATGTATTGTGTTTTCTGTTGGTGATTATTCGTAAATAAAAGCAACATTTCCTAAAATTTGGCTCTTGTAAGCCAACCATTATAAAAACTTAACGATACACATAAAAATGTTTGTACTGTTAAGTAATTGCATTATAGACGTACTATATTTCACAGTAGTGTGATATTGGGCAGTTTCATGACCTAAAACACTGTCATTCAAGCTTTCAACGACGTCATTTGTAGTTCTTATGTCTCCAGACGTCGAAGATTTGTTCTCTGTTACAAAAATATTTTATCTCTCGAGTTTAAGGTTACGATATTTGATAAGCTGAGCAAATGAAATTGAAAAATAAAAGTCCCCAAGTGAAATTATTCAATTTCAAGTCTAAAGGGTGTCTTGGGACTTACTGCACTTAGATGCTACAACGACCTAGAATCAAACAATTTTATCCTTGCACTTGTAACATTATTTCATTTCACGGGCACAAAAGTGCTAGCTAAGCATCTTTTCAATGAAAAAAAGCACCTGCATCATAACGCTCATCAAAACCACATTTAAGTGTACTAACGGAAATCGAACATACTTGGAATATACATGCAGTACATGTACTTGTAAATCCATAATTTTAGCGTAGTCAATAATCAGCGCAACTACAGGTCTCCCACGAATTTTGCAAAATTAAGAATAAGTGCTACCTCTTCTTAAAATTATATTCTGGATATCGAGATTTTGTGTTTGACTTTTAATTTTAATTTATGCCAAACTAAGTTCTTTTTATGTCTACATAAAAATAAATTTTACTTTATCAAAAATCTTTAAATTTGAAAAATTTTCTTAAGAACAACAAATTAACAATTAATGAAATTAATATATAATCTTTTGATTGCTGTATTGCTTCAAATTTGTTCCCATGGGTATTCTCATTTTTCCCCGATGAATGAAATTACTATTTCCGAAGCACCATTTGTCAATTTGATAAATTGTGTTTAATTAATTAATTAATGCTGAAAATTTTCAAAGGCGTTTGTTTGCGCATCCTAAGAGACAGAGGCCATCATTCAGATTAAACCTTGTGGAATGGCAATTAGGAAATAACAATGCGCAACTGCATACTAAGACTGTAATAAAAACTAGAAGAACGTCCATTGGGCATGTATGAATCGCCCAATAGTTAATTGTAACGTAAAAAGATGTGAATTTTGTTCTCTGATTTCAGTTAATAGTAAAATATTAAGACAAAAAGAACAGTTTTAACACTACTTGTCTCGAAATTGTCACAAAATTTCTGGTACGATTTCAATGCTAACACAGAGATTGATCTGATTTATCTGTGTATGGAGATATTAAAATTAACCTTTTATGAGCTAAGTTATTCACAAACTGTTGCGTCCAAACTTTTCAATTATAAACAAACCCTACAATGCCTAGATATTGAACATCTAAAACAAAATCCTCTTAAGCATTCTTGCTCTTCTTCGTCTTTCAACTACAGTCCCTCTAGACACGTCATTACTGATGATGTTAATATAGTTGAAAATGAAGACCTTATTTAAAGCAATCATTGTGAAAGGTCCTAAATACAGGGAGCTCCGATCTTTCAATTGGCGTTAGAACTTTTCCAATATGAATTCTGTCGAAGATTATGCCAAACGTTGGGCTACCGGTTAATATGAAAAGGAAGACCTGAACATTTTGTCAGAATGGGTTACATATTTTAGAAATATATTAAAGATTCTTATAAGGAAATTAAAACGCAAAATGCGAACCATCTACCCTTCCGTTTTTACTAAACCGGAAGTGATGAAAGTGTTAGAGCGGCTATACGAAAAATATGTTATGGTTCCAGCAGACAAGGATGATAACAATATCGTCTTTGTTTGTAAACTTGGTTTTGATTCTTCGTCTGGAAATCCTACGTATAATTACTGTTCACTTTCCAGAAAAAGAAATTCTTCAAAATCATATTTCAGAGTTTAATACTTTTAATATGCCAGTCAAGCAAGGTGATTTCGATCTATCCTACACGTACTTGATTCCTAAACTTCATACAAATCCTTACAAAGATACATTGCTGGGTTCAGCAAATGGTCTACCAAGCCCTTACCTTTACTCCTTACAAAACTATTAACTGCTGTAAAGGAGAAACATGAGACACAATATGCTACAGCTCATTCTATAGAAGTGGTGTAAATCAGAGGTGGATCCTCAAAAACTCGAAAGAACTTTTAGAATCTTTAAAATCATCAAATTTTTCAAAGGTCTATAGCATCAAAACTTACGACTTTTCTACACTTTATACAACATTCCTCAGGATAAATTAAAATCCTTAAATTTAGACTTTTTGATATAAAAGACTTCTTAAATAAAAACGGAACTCGGAAATTTTCACATCTTGTGATTGGTCATCGGCAAAATTAATTCTTTGAAAACCACTCTGATTGTACATACAAGTACTCTGAAGTTGATATTAAAAGGATGCTGAAGCTCCTCATTGACAAAGTTTATGTAGACCAAGTTTTCCAACAAACTGTTGGAATTTCAATGGGCACTAATTGTGCTCCTTCATTAGCTGACCTGTTTTTATATTCTTATAAAGCAGAATTTATTCAAAAACTTCTACACGAGAAGAGGAAAACACTAGCTGTGGCCTTCATGTATCGGAAAAATTCCAGGCACTAAAGTGATTTTGAATTCCTTTTCCCCCTCCTTTGAGGTTTTATTAAAAGATTATTTTAGCCCGAAGGTAACGAATGGAGGAGCAAAATTTGGTAAACTTTATTTTGCCCTTAATTAAAATATATAACGTTGAAAGGTTCTGGAAAATGAATTCCCCAATGAAAAACAGTTTTATTATTATCATATCGAAAAGATGAATACATAACTTGAAATCATCCTGATTTGTCACATTAAAATAACATTTAAATAGCTGTCCTAGAAGTCATTTTCAGGCTGAGAAGTTTTCTTCAGGAAAATCCATTTTGTGTCTTTTATCTTATAAAAACAGGGCGTACATAGGGGTTCTCGTTGAACGACTAAATCTAAAACTCATGTATTCTATCATTTTGAGCCATAATTGACTTATGTCTTTACAACACACTTTATTGATTTCACTTGCATAAGAAACCTCCACGGCGACATATCTTAGGCGTTTTGGGTAATCTTTTCTAATATAAACATCTTCTAGTCTTTGCGATCCCCGGTGGCCTGTTAGGTTTTATAAAAAGCAAACCCAGTGTGTGGGCTCGATACATAGTTTTCGCACAATCTTCAATACACATCACCAAAATTATATTAAAAGAATGAAAAGATCAGTAATGATGACCAAAATGACATATGCACAGAGAACATTTCATTCAATTTACTTTATCAGACGTTTGGTAATCCAGTCTGAAAATGTTACTTAGACTACGCAATAAAGAAGAAAGTCGAACTGAAGATCAGACGAGAGAGCCCCGACATCCGGAACCGTGGCATTCTGGGAACGGAAATGTATCCGGGATAATTTGTGCTTCTGTCGTGAATTCTAATCTCGCGTCTGATACACCATCAAAACTCACCTATTAAACAAGAACAAAAATGTCATTCATTGATTCTATAAATGCATAAAGTAAAAAAAGGTGTTGAAACGAACATATATAAAAAGCCTTGTAAATAAGATTTTATATGCGAATAGTGCAATTATGTCTCGAATTCAAGTTGTGAGACCTATTTTTGGGATCCGATGTATGGCTTGTATTAAAATATCCCCTTATCATTTGAAATGATATCAAATTATTTTAATAAACATGAAAATGTCATTTTTGTTTGACTTCCATTTTGCGGGTAATTTTTGTATGAAACATTTGCAGTTACGACAATTTTTAAACTCTAACTGATTTTTATTCCATTTTTTATCCTCATTTGATTCACTTACAGCATTCATTGTGGCTAATTTTCAAACCTAGAGAACACTTAACTTATACCTAGCTTTATAATTTAACCCAAAATACACCTGAATAATACATGAACATTTAGGCTACACAGTTTTTCGTACTCTATATCATTGTTTTTGCCTGTGTGCTTCAACAAATGAAATATAAAATTAATGTTATATACAAGTGCATGTATACATGTACTTCAAATTATTTTATGGATCAAGAGGTACTTTGTCAAAATAAACACAAAGAAAATCCATTCATCTTAAAAGGTTTAAAATTCATAACATTCGATGAATTAAATTAAGTCATCAACTGCGTAAAAACGACGTCGCAATTTTTTTGTTGTAGATTTCTACCAACATATTTTATATATATTAACACAGAAAAAAAAGTTTATAAAAAAAAATTTATAAACTGAATACATTTATCAAATTTTAGTACTGTGAAATTCAAACATTACAAAGTTCCTATAAGGACTCTTTACCATGGGCGCAATCAAATGAATGAAGAGCCCCCCCCCCCCTTCTTCAACGTTCACTCAAAGTTCAAACTGATTAAGCAAATAACGCAAAACAATCACGAATTTATATAGACGCAACGCAATGAAAAAATCTAGAAGTTGAATGCAACAGCCAACTCTCCCAGGTAAGACATTTTTTATTCAATCGCTGAGGAAAGTTATTTATACTGGACAGGAAGTAATTACACTTGTTAAAATTGTACATTAACTGATTTATTGACCATTTTCTGTCTATATCTGGAGGATTAAAAACTGAAATTGAGTGGAGCATCCAATACACTCTTAGCAGAGTTAAACAAACCAATTGTTGATAGAAGGAGGTGTTGCATAGATAAATTTTAAGTACCATTTATTCCTTAGATTTTTCATTAAAAACTTGCAGAGTTTATGACCTTGAAATTGGCCGACTTAAAAATCACCTGAGTCTAGTATTTTTGAACAGTAAGAGGTTGAGCCATTATTTAGAATGTTAAAAGAGCATTCATAAGTTTTGGCTTACAGGCTTTTTGGCCTTGAATTTGATACAAGTATTTGATCTTTCAAAAATCAATTTTGCTCCACGTTTTTGTTTTTTAGATATTTACCAATCTTACCGATTTCTATTTTGTTAATAGACTTTGCCTGAAGTATTAGTTTTACAGACATTGTGACCTTGACCTTGATCTGTTTTTAAAAAATGAATTTTGCCCAAATATTTATACTTAACATAATTGGCCTTTTGCACTATCTATAGATTTGATATACTTCTTACTGAATATTGACACCTTTGTGACGTTTGATTTTGATCTCCGACCTTTTCAATTCTGGACTAAATCAAGTTTTTTTTTTTTTAGTTTTTTTTTTAAAATCGTTGCTCTTCTTTTTTTGTTCTACATGGAAGAATAAATTAAATATGTACTGAGTAAAAAAAAAATGTGAAATATTTGAATTTAATACAGGAATGTGAATTATACGTGAAGTACAGCTAGTAAATGACATCGAATGCGAATATAAAATTAGTAAATCGTTTTCATCTGAATTTGATGGGATGAAAATATCAAATTTCAGAGGTTAATGTGATTTGTTGTCTGATGCACACAATATCCAGTATCGACGCCTACATGTACGATACTGCAGGGATGTGAAGAAAAACGTGACATGATCTGTAATTCTGCATATTTTGTAGACGTGATGTAATTACAAATAAAGGCTCTGGTTCCTTAAAAATTAATATCTAAGAAACTTATTACTAATTTCGACGGCCTTTAGATGATATATGACATATTAATCGAATATCATCACGTGACGAATAATAAAACGGGCTGGAGGACCACGTGTATAGTGAAACCTATTTTTTTTTCTATTCATAACTGTAATGTATGTGTTGTCCTTATGCTCATGGATTGTGTGGCTAAAACTGTCCCCGGATAGCATTTTGATTAACTTAATCCCCTCCTTTTTTCCGATATCCAAGGTATTTATCTTTGTAAATTTTAGAATCGCCATAAATAGGAAAAATTTACTTGCATGCCAAGTCTTTCTCTGTTGGAAGTTACCGGTATTACATTACCGGTACCGGTACTTAATTCTTATCCATCTATGCTGTAGGGACCGTATAACAGTTAAAAATCTACATTTGAAAAGAAAATACCATTGCGTCTTTGTAACAAGGAGGTGATCTAAGAGACTTTACATCTGAATTTTTAAAATATGCATACAAACCATGTATTATAAATCAGACTAATTTCTTTTTTAAATTTTGTGATATTTATCTTTTTTATGTTCTAGCACATGGAAATATATGCAGTTAGCATATGACATCTTTTATTGTCTGCGCGAAACTGAAACGATGCAAAAATTAAAGATCTAAGAAACTGCAAATACTTATTACTTTTATTAAAAAGTTACCAAAAACTTTAGAGAACACTATTCGTGTTGGTATGTGAAAAATTATCGTTGTCATTCTTTCGGAGAAATCGTTGATAAACAGATGACTGGCTGTTGGTTCCATTTCGGTGACTTGTGATTGAGCCGCCAGATGTAAATTATCTTTTCCGGGAATTAATTTTCATAAGAAAAAGAACATATTTGTATTCAACAAATGCTTCACGTGAACGATAGTTTACATTTTAAATATGATTTCGTAGCAAATAATAAATAAATAAATAAAATGTTAAATATATTTTCTTAAATCCGACCAAATACATAAAAATAATTTTACATGTATGCATTACGGATTTTGAAACATGTCACGTGGGCACGAAAAGAGACATCTACATGTACTGGGAGTTTCTTTGTCACCTGTTAACTTACTTGAATAAAGAATGCCAGCCATCCTTCGGGCGGGTTATCGTACTCTGCCACAAAAGTATTGTTGCCCTAAAGTTATCGAAGAAAACTTTGTCAGATTAAACAACATTGTATTTTTACATTGAAAAAATGGAAAATATATTGAAAATGTTTTCCACTTTAGCATCAAATCACATCTTTAGCTCTCTGTGGAATCAACGCATTTGTATCAAACAGAAAATTTTTCATATTACTCTGCCAGAATCCTCAAAACTCTCTTCAGAGAGATCAACAGGTCAATTTATACATGTCCTTGGTTGGTAAAATGCAGATGTCTAAAGATAAACTTAAGTTTTTAAGGGGAAAATGATCGAAGTAGTTTAAAACAAGTACATGTATTTCTTTTAAAGGAAATAGTCGTTCAATTGTAAATTATCGTACTGTAAGATTTCGTCCAGAAAAATTAAATTACTCAAAATTCTGCAACATCATGATCGATTTATATTTCCCTGAACCAGAGACATAAATAACATACTTTTTGTGTCTCTGTCGTTACATTCATGTATGAATTAACTTTTCTCCAAACAAATTTTACGATCAAACTAAAGATCCCTAACCACCGATGATTTTTTTTTTTGACATTGAGAAAATCATATCAAATTTCTCCATGAAACATGTTCAAAGAGAATGAAGTTTTAGTGCACAGAAATATAACATATCATTGGATCGTATTTTGACTAACGTATTTCATACCAATTATTAAACAAAGGTTTTTATACTAAAATTTGACAACGGAATATTTCGTCTACCTGATCAATACATAGGGCTCATGGCGGGTATGACCGGACTCCTAGGTACTTGATTCCACCTATGGAATTACCGGGGGTCCGTGTTTTATGCCCTGTTCACAGATTTGTATTAATTGTAAGTTTTTTGGGATCGATCACTGTTAGTTATCTTCACCTTTTTCATTTTAATATAATGTTAAGAATACTTTAAATTATTAAAAATTGTTTCATTAACTTTACATTCCCAATTATTTTTATCTTACATCTACAATTTCTAAAACGCGGGTGGCTATTGACAAATAAGTTGATGATACAAGGATATTAAAAGTCTCGTTTCAGTCAGCATTTTGCAAATTCTATGGTCGATACAATGACCCTGTTTGCTAATCTATCCTTTAGACGAATGTTGACTGATGTCTTTCATTCAAATTGTCAGGTCATCATTTTCACACTGAATTGTCTACGAATTTTTCCGTTTACCCGATTATGACGAGGAGCACACGGCGGGTGTGACCGGTCGACAGGGAAAACTTATTCCTCCATGACACCCGATTCCATTTCTGTTTTCGGAGGTACGTGTTGGCTCTGTTCACATATTGTATTTTTAAAATGGACTTTTGAGAATGATTAGTTTTCGTTATCTTCATATTCCATCTATATAAGGATAGATTCTCTAAGTTGCGTAAATTAGAGCTTTTTTTTCTTTTTTACAAATGTCGCTCGCGCTGGTTCTATGCCCGTGATTCCAGTCACTGCCGCTAGGAAATCCAAGTTCTCTTTTGAAAGTTGTCCCTGAAACATACCCGTTGGTTTTCCAGGGAGCTCGTTATCAGGGAACCGGTCAATGAATTAAAATCCCGCACATCTGGAGAAATTTATAGTTTCGTACAGCATAAAATATTTACAATGTATATCACAAAGAAAATGTTTTGGAAAAAATCTCTTCAAAGATTTAATCACAATAAATTACATAACAAAGATACTGTACATAGTCCGTCGTAAATGTAAACGCAAATAGTTACATTTGCCGGATGTCTCATTCGGAATCAAGTGTGATCGGCCGTAACCAACTGCAATCACAAAAATAAAATAAATACGACTAACACTGAAAGATCGTAATTAAATAATGTAGCCGATTTAATGTAAATGTGATATCATATAATATCACATAAAAAAATCAATTTAGGTATATACGAACTGCTAATACTTTAGTCTAACCTATTCATATATACATGTACATATTTCTATGTCTAAGAATTAATTAGCCGATACATTCATATCTCCCAGGATATTGCTGATCCTTTCATACAGAAAATCATTTTTATACAATTAGTTTTGCTCGAAGTTTATTCATATTCAGTGCTTTAACATTTTTTGAATTTTAATAGTTAATATATGACCCTTAAAATAAATGTTTTGCTAGATTCTACATTCTAGATACCCGCTGATCTTTTGAAGATGGGGACTTTAAAACTCGATCTACTTAAAAACCTTAAAAAGATACACTGAAAATTACTTTGGATAAAGAGGGGGATGGAATGTGCTTGTTTTAAAAATGTTTTAATTTATCTCATTTTTTTTATTTTACGAAATCTTTATTGTTTTTATTTATTTTATATTCATTCCTTTTTAATTTTTTTTTTTATTTATCTTATTTATTTATTTATTTTTGGCAATATTCATTCGGTAAAACAATTTGTGACACCTGATGAAATATTTCAAATCACAACCACTCAGCTCTCTAACATGAGAAGATGACAATGTCCTTTCTTTTCTGTCAATAAATTTAGATTTTATATCTGTTTGCTTTGAAAATATTTCCAATACTAGTATGTGCATCATTTGCAGATATACGTGCATGCTGACACGAGTTTTTCTTAGTGTCTAATAAAAGGGAACGAAAAAAATCGAATATCCAAGTTTAGATCCACGGGATGGATAATAAAGTCGGTTTTTTGTACAGGACAATGGATTTCCTTAATTTCAGTGTCAAGCCAATCCCGTGCTCATTAAAGTTCTCGTCTGCTTATCTCCCCGGATCTTGTATTGGTTTCATGGAGGAGATTCATTGATGTCATCAGTGAAGAACTTAACCATACAACCATCCTGACAGCATGAAACAATGTCCACGATCTGTCTCTGATCCGTTATTATGATTTTTTGAGTACCTGTTTTCAACGTCATGAAAAAAGCTTGACTTTTTTAAAAAAAAAAGGTTTTTGTATATTTAAGTCTGTAGCTGTCTCTGAGAATATTGTTACTAGACTTCAGGGAATAAGTCTGAATGCATCGTATGTCTGGTCATTGTCACCAAAGCGCAGACAAATTTTGCAGTTTGTTGTAAAACGAAATAAGAAAATTGGAAAATCCATCCAAGTCTGAGACCTTTCGGCGGCAATATTTTCTAAAGTGCATGTATTGCAAATGCACTATTAACGTTCTTATAAATTCAAAGTTAAATACTGAATTCACGATATGTCTGGCTACTTGAAATAAACATGCAGCAAAATATTCTGATTGCCAGAATAACGAATATATAAAAGTTTAAAATCCATCCAAGTCTCAATGTATATAATATATTGTACACATTTACAGTATAAACTTTGGGGCCGCCATGGAGACAGGTATACAGAGATATGTCGCAAAATTAGGGAATATTAAAGATGGATAATTTTAAAATACATGTATATAAACGTAACAATTGATGTGCTTTATCTTAAGGTGATGACAGTTGTGTCTGAATCTTTTGTACATTCTTATTTTAAACAGGAACTCACCAGATCTTGTGGTCTGTCATTGAACCATATAACAGGGTGAGGATATGGTTTTCTGGGATCATCAGGGGAGGCAACCAGAAGTCTAAAGTCACGCCTTAAAGATTGGAATTAAATATATTTTTACAAATTCTAGATTGAATTTCATAAAGAAAATTAAGAGAATTGATAAGTTTATCTGTTCTGAAGATTTTTTTTATCAAACCTGGTAATTCTTTGACTTTGTAAAAAAAAAATTTAAAAATATATATGAAATAATTTATGTAGGTAATAAAACTTGGTGTGTCATTGCCTATGTGCTTCTGACTTTAATCGGCACATAATATATTGCAGAATATTAGCATACTTTGAAGTCGTTTTAAGACTATTAACGGTAATTTGGATACTAGGATTTATAGTTCTGATTTGACATCGGATGTTTTATATGTATATATATATTGATACCTTTTACCGTCTATGGTCCTCGCGTAAAATACGTCCACTGTTTTAGGGCTTCTGTCGGTCATTAGAGTAATCTTTCCGCCATTTTTAGTCTGAATTTTAAAAAGGACATGTTTTATAAATGATTTTTTTTTCTAAGTGAAATTCAATTTAATATTTTAATTGACGAATGCAATACTTACAAATTCCCTCTTCCAAGTCATTTTAGGAAACGGTGTTCCCTACAAAAATATGAAGTAAACAGTTGATAATGGAACAACATGTATCGACATTGATACATAAATAATTGCATGTAGTGTCTTTTTTTTTTTTTTTTGGTGTGTGCTTTGATTAATAAATTTATTCATTTATACATTAATTCATTTATATTTTTTGGTTTGATTTTATTTTATTTTGACCTACATGTATTTTCATTTAATCTTTTTAATGCCCTCGTAATCGAAGATTCGGGGGTATATAGTTTTTGCCCTGACCACCCGTCTGTCTGTCTCTTTGTCCGCAAAAACTTTAACCCTTCATAACTTTTGATTGGTTAGAGCCATGGCTTTTATATTTCACATATTCCTTGTGACAAGACCTTCCCCTGGGTTTCAAGATATTTTACCTCTTGGCCTTGACCTTTGAGTTTGACCCACTTTTGCAAAAATTTACCTAGCTTTAACCTTGGCCATAACTTTTGAACAGTTAGTACGAGGGCTTTCAAATTTCACAAGTATATTCCTTGTGACAAGACCTTATTTTGAATTCTAATAATTATCACCTTCTGTCCTTGATCTTGGAGTTACGAGGGCTTTTATATTTTGCATGTGTATTTCTTATGATAAGGTCCCCTGCGTACCATTAATTTTGACCCTTTGTCGTTAACCTTGGAGTTTGGCACACTTTTAAAAAAAACATTGACCTTGACCATAACTTTTGATGGTTGGTGCTTGGGCTTTCATATTTACCAGGTATATCCATTGAAACAAGTCCTATCTTTGGGTACCAAGGTTTTTGTTCTCTTAATCTTGGCCTTAGAGTTTGACTTGCATTAGAGAAACTTTATCCTTTGCCGTAAGCTGTCATATGGGGGCATCAGTGTTAACAAACACATCTTGTTTCTTTAGGTATGATTGCCTCTCTAGAGATGTTCTTTTCAGCGAACGGGGTAAATGTTTTACTGCCAACACATGGACCGTAATCAATTTTAGTTGCATAATCAACATCAAAAGCCCCCCCCCCCCCCAAAGTTTTCCTTTATGGAACATCGAAAGTTAAAGAACACATTGATGCCGACAAATAACACGCATTTACTTAATGCAATCATGCAGTGTCTATTCAGTACTTCGATAAACTTTAAAAGAATTCATATTTTAGGTTTCACTCATTAAACTTTAATGTAATCCAGAAACAAGTTTATATCATGGGAATACTAAAAGGTTAAGTGTAGCGTGAAATAAAGTACGAAATAGATAGTAATTAGTTATTGTAATTAGGGAATTCAAGTACAATTTACTTTGGCGATTATTTATTTTCAGACATAACCAACAGTACATTTTAAAGAGAAGGGTTTTCGCGACTTTTTGAATAATGAAAATAAACTTCCCAAGTACGATCAAATAGAATCATTTAAGAAATTATTATATAATTAATCAAGGAACCACGTGCATAATTCCCTATGTACTACGCTTTTGGAACTCTACATGCGTGAGTAGGTCATAGCATCTATCCATGCAGTAGCGTTTTTTTTCATAAATTGGTCTGCTACAAGTAATGTTCAGGAGTAATGCTTATTACTTTTCGCCAATTTTCACAAATTGTGTTTGTAAATAAGACCATTTTCCCCTTCGACCCTTGTTACCCTTGATAATCGTCGACTGTGATGAGTTTCAGACCTCCGTTCGAAAAATAATATTTTCGCATATTTCTATAAATGTAGAAAAAAGACATACATCGCGTATGAGGATTTTTCCACAGTCACTTGAAAGACCCAGAGTACAAGAAAATAATAGTTTGTGTAATTAAATGTACTCACGGTGACTGCTTGCAGGAAAAATGCTCGTAAAGAAAACATAAGACTAGTTTCGTGGCCTGCACAACTATGTTCAGCGTTTGGTAGTTTTCTGTGGAAAGATAGGGCAATATATCATGGGCAATTCTAAAATACACTGCGAAACGTTAAATTCATTGTATATTTCTCAGATATTGATACCTGAGATATTTAGGCCCTTCCAGCTGATCGAAGTAATAATAAGCATCGTCTGGTTGGAAGAATTCATCACCACCAGTGGTAATAATAAACTTGGCAATGTTCTTATATCTATCATTGTATGCTGAAACATCATAGAAAACAGTATTTGAAAGTATTCTGCATTGAATTTGCTTCGTAAACCATAAGATTACATGAGCTGGATCAGTTATAGTTAACGACGACAGGCAATATAAAGACTCTGATGAATAAATTGATAAAAAAGTTACAGAGAGGGTCGATGATTGCCGCCATTTTGGTCACAGCCTCACTGTCGAGCTGCGCTGTAATGTTGACGTCAAGGTAATCGTCAAAAGCAAAGGTCCAGCCTCCTAAATTTCTGTACATGTGATGAAGATTCTACAAAAAATTATTGCAAAGAAATCAGAAATCGTGACGTGTTTTTATGATCAAATAAATAGAACGGAGTTAAGATTCAAATGTTATTTGATTTAAATGAAATTATTGGTATTGGCTTTGTCAACTGATTCGGTACAAGTATGTTCCAAATACTATTTACTTTAACCATATTTAATAAGTCCAGTACAATCGGTGCCATAGCAACCACTCTCTTGTCTACTGCCGCCGTGGTCCACGTAGTCCAGCCTCTCTACCAAGCAGAAATATATTCATCGTCAAGTTCGTAACCCTAATCGTCATCATGTTCAATTCTAAATATGCTTTTTGAGAACTTTGTACAGTACAATATACTTATTTCTGAATAATCGTACACAGAGGCTCTAAATTCATCCTAACCCTCTTCTCAAAGAGAGTAAAGTGCTTAAACGAATGTATATAGTTGGGTTTTTGAAGTAAGTAATTTCAATACCTTGTTATCAGACTGCGATTTTTTCATTTAAAAATACCTGCCTTAGATGCACCAGCAATAAAAAACTTCTCTACATTGTTTCCCAACTTCGCTTTTACAAAATTTTGTATAGTATCCATGGCACGAACAGCTGCCTGAAAAAAGGGTATCCAGAAGATAAGTTTAAAAGATTAAAACAAAAATTTGTAATCAATATATTATTATCTGCTCCCATACTTTTGTCATGGGCATGCGCAGTAGTATTTCTGGGTCAGACGTGTTCTCGATGAATTTCTTCCATGTCCAAGCGATAACAGCGTCCTCTTTCCTCCTTTTCTTTTCGGGGTCATCCTTTCATGAAAAGGATTAAAATCAATATTGCCTCTAATTTCATTTAATTTTTTAGCAGATACTCTTAAAAGATATAACATACGGGGAAAAATCAATGTTTATCGGCATTTATACACAAATTATCCCCGTCTGGAATCGTGCGAAACCGGTAATTTACGTCGTTATTGTTATTACATAATCTAATTATTGCTTAACGTGGTGTTGCAGCTAGTGAGTAAATTTTAAAGCGATTGTGCGTATAAAATATAGGAGAAAAGAGAAGGTTAGTAACATTCCAGACACTGATTAATATTAATAGATGACGTTGTCAGATATAAGTGATGTGTCAGGTCAAAACAAGAAATGTCAAGGGCATTTGACATAATTATTTAGACCTTGACTTCGTTTACAAAAGGGTAACATTTTATGCTTAGCCCCAGCTGTACAATCTGAAATGTCAGACTTTAGTTTGAAAGGTTTTAATATGGTTTTGTGGTATTGTTTTATAAATGCGAAGTGTCATTTTGTTATGACTTTGTTCTTGTGATCTAAAGGAAATGTTTTCAGAAGAATACCAAGTCCCATCATAACTGCTTCAAGTCAGACATATCTACAGTTTATACTTCAGGCCTCCATTAATTCAAATTTAATAATAGTCATTAAATAAATTTTAGAATCTTACATTGAATTAATTAATGCGTATTTTCTGATAAATATTTAAAAAATAAAATAATTAAAGATCTTCTCTACATGAACTAACCGAAGTGACCTATATTTATACCTGATAAGAAAGCTGTGCACATTCCTCATAGGAATTTGTTTAGCTTTCGGTATTCCATTGAAGCTTTACCTTAAAAACGATTGGTTGATTCGGAATCATTCGCAAATCAGCGCCAATTGCGCAAGCGCTAACAGCCATCACAGTCGTCAGTGCCACGAAATTATTCGTAATCTTTGGAGGGCTGAAATTATTTTGTTATTGTAAAAAGAATTATACATGATAAACGATCAAAAGTTTACCAAAAAAGTGCACAAATTTCTTCAGCTCAGTTATAATAAAAAAGTGATTTTTTTCCTGTATATTGACACCTCCACCTAAAGCTGCTAAGTCTTAATTATACTTTAAATTACATGGCCGTAGGAACCCGGGGGGAGGCACGGGGGGGGATTTTCAAATTTTTGTAGCCCCCTTCCCAAACTGATATTGCTTCTCGCGGGCCTGAATTATCTCTCTTTCAAAAAACTGGTGCAGAATGTTGTAGGACTTATATATCAATGTTGGTTCCAACTTTTTGTTATGATTTATCTAGAGGACCTTTACATGTAAGTACAGCCTTCTTACATTATCAAAAATCCATTTTATATATATATATATATATATATATATATATATATATATATATATATATATATATATATATATATATATATATATATATATATATATATATATATATATATATATATATTGCAAATATGGCCTAAATTATTTCGTATATGTATAGTCCCATAAAATGCTCAGAATTAATATCTTTATTTTGAAATTGAAAGCTGAAAGTGCTTTTTTCTTTATCCTATCCGTGAACCCCTTGATATATTTAATTGTGTATTATTTGTTTCTGTCTTGGGAACAGCCCCCAATCCCACTCCATTACTGATACATGTTTATAAAACAAAATTTAACAGATTTGTCCTTTGTGTTCCTAGCCAAAATATATAAAATTTTTGCAAAGTGAGTAAATTCTGACTATTTGCTATCAGAAAAAATATGCATTTAAAAAAATAACAAGAGATACTTTTGGCTCAATTTCCTTGATGGTGATAGTCCATTTTGACCTTGACAAATGGTCTTGACCTGACTGACATTGCAACTTTTACCTTAACTTTAAATTTGAACTGGCCGCAGATCTGTAGCTTGCTGGTCTGAAAAAAAAAAGAATTGGGAGGCTGGGCAGATTCGGTCGTTCGTCCCAATTTGTTCAGACCAGCGAGCTACAGTTCTGCAACTTTTGAGCATGTACGAAATCCCAGAGTTTCTTACTTTAAAAAATGTTTAATTTGTGGACTTACAGATAGACTACCGGACACCCTAATTGATAATCCCTATCTTCTAAGTAAGGGCATAAAACTGTAAATTAATTATTCAAATTTTGTATTATATAAATCACAATATGTCATTGGTATTAATTGTGAGAAATTATATGTGTACCCCTCTGTGTTACTCCCTCCGTCGATGAGCATAAATGCGGCCTGTGTGTAGTTGATTTTGTCAGGTATGGTAACGGTCAAGTAATGCCACCAGACAGGCTGGTCCGTCACTGCCTCTGTATCAATGCAAAACATAGGCCATTAGGGAAATTTTATTCTCTTGTGATAGCATCTTAACAAAATGTATAAATTCCTTGAATCTTTCATGTTCCAGAGTCAGAAATATCAGTAGGGACTGTTCGCATTACAGGGAGAAATAATGCAGAAGACAATGATATGGTCACTGTTGAACTTATATACCTATATGAAGAGAATTTGTTAGAATTTGCATGAATTGCAAATCTTTCAACAACACCATCCCTCCCCTTTTTTGCCTAAGCTGTAAATAGAACTATAAACTTCAATTTCAAGACCAAATTACTGTAAAGGAAAAATGGATTTATATAATAATACTACTGTTGTAATAAGAAAAAATGTTTGGTTTTTTTCTTCCTCTCGAAAATCTGAAAATACACAGAATTCTCACGTGTGATTGAGGAATCGGACACCCTACACCCTCCCCCCTCGAAACATTTTAAGATGTTTGACTTATTTTCCATAGATTATTTTTCTATGGCAAGTTTGCATTATATCCCAAACTATAAAAATAAAAAAGATGAATGTATATTTTCTAATTAGAGTGCTTTCTAAATATATCAGAAAAATATGAAAAATAAGTTGAACCTCCCCTGGGATATGGAGCGGGAGGGAATTGAGAACCTGTCCAGGTAGCTGTAAAAATAAATTCACTCTATATCTGATAATTTTATAGTTTAATTAAAATTAAGTCAAACAGTCCTGGGATATGGAAGTACCATTCAAAAGTAAAGGGCATTTTAACGCGCAACTTTATTTTAATGATTGCTTTAATTGGATTTATAAATCTATACTTACCAGTTTTCCATTTTTGTGACGTCATATTTAAAATATACATTGTATATTCGGGTCCCCGGTAAGACCCGATCTCCGTGTATTTATAATACGAGTCGGGGCGGTGCACGTAGTCGTCAAGAGGCGTGGCCTGTAGGAAAACCACGGAGTAGGCGAGAACGGTCATCCATGTCCACATAGTGTTTAAGAAATCCTTAATGATTGTGGGGTGGTAGATCTACCCCCTAATCTAAGTCATTTGATTGTCTTGTGACTTAATAATCGCTAATCGAGATATCCTCCGGACTGTGGGAGTATCAACAAACTTTTCATGCAGTTTCCTGATAAACCTTTTCATCGTGATAGGAGGAAAAGCTTTTATATATGTATTTGATAATTTCGTTAGAACTTAAAGTTCATAGAGCACTTATTTATGTATATCCCTATTCATTCAACGTTCGAAGAGACTTCCTGTTTCTTAGGCTTAGATCATTGGCTGATAGTTACGGAGGTCTGGTAAATCACCCATAACGATATAAATAAATAAATTCCTTGTACATTTAGAAGTACCGTGTTTGATTTGATTAGTATACACTGGCGAGTAAAATGTATGGGGTGAATTGACAGGTTCAGAATTAAAAAAAAAACAACACTTATTGGTTTCAGAACTAAAACTTCCTGCTGTGTTAGTTTATATAAATCTAAAACACACAAAGTCCAAATCATACAACGGAATGCTCTTAATTATTTATTTTTATGCCCCCGGATCGAAAGATCCCAGGGGTATATTGTTTTTGTCCTGTCTCTCTGTTTGTCTGTTTATCTGTTTGTCTGTCTGTCTGTTGTCAACTTTAACCTTGCCCATAACTTTTGATTGGTTGGAGCTATGACTTTCATATTTCACATATGTATTCCTTGTGACAAGGCCTTTCTTTGGGTACCATCATACTTGACCTTTTGACCTTGACCTTGGAGTTTGACCCACTTTTGCAAAATTTTATGAGACTTTAACCTTGGCCATAAATTCTGAACAGTTGGTGCTTGGGGTTTAAAACTTCACATGTGTATTTTTTGTGACAAGGCCTTCCTTTGGATACCAACAACTTTGACCTTTTGACCTTGACCTTGGAGTTTGACCTACTTTTGAAAAACTTTAACCTTGGCCATAACTTTTGAACAGTTGGTGCTTGGGGTTTCAAACTTCACATCTGTATTCCTTGTGACAAGACCTTCCTCTGGATATCAACTTCTTTGACCCTTTGACCTTGACCTAGGAGTTTGACCTACTTTTGAAAAACTTTGACCTTGGCCATAACTTTTGAACGGTTAGAGCTAGGGCTTTCATACTTCACATAGGTCATCCTTGTACAAGACCTTCATTTGGATACCAACCACTTTGACCCTTTGACCTTGACATAGGAGTTTGACCTACTTTCGAAAAACTTTAACCTTGGCCATAACTTTTGAATGGTTTGTGCTAGGGCTTTCATACTTTACATATGTAATCCTTGTGACAATACCTTCCTTTGAATACCAACAACTTTTACCTTGACCTTGATGTTTTACTAACTTTTAAAAAACTTTAACCTTCGCCATAACTTTAGAACAGTTGCAGCTAGGGCTTTCAAATTTAACATTTTTTTATCTTTTGGCCTGGATTTTGACTTGCATTTGAGAAACTTTAACCTTCGCCATAAGCTGCCATACGGGGGCATCAGTGTTTCACAAACACATTTTGTTTTTTATTATTTCCTTGTTTTTCGGGGTGATAAAAGTTGAAAAATCTGGATTGCAGTGCAATCCCCTCTCTAATTTTTTAATGTTAATATTGTTTTCTATATAAATTTATTAGTTACTAGAAACAATTAATTTCTTCAGTATGTTCAAAGACACTGCAGCTGTAAAAAGAGATCACCAAGAATCATTTATCAATTCGATTATTAAGATTCATCCTTTTTGGTTATTGTAATAAATCTATCTAGATCTAAAAATACATGTACCGAGAAAATTTATGCTTGTATATATAAATACATGTATATTTAGCCTGACGCCTTTTCAAACATTCATGCTTATCTATATAAAAATCAAACTCAGTGGTAATTTTATTGATGTAGTCAGAGAAAAAAAAATCAATCTACCTGGAAAAAAACTTTAAAAAAAAAACACAACAAAACAATAAGAAAAAAAAAAACAACAAAAACAAAAAAAGTAAAATAATAATAATAAAATCTTTTTTTAATTGTCCAAAAGTAGAAAATCGAAAATCATATTTAGTGGAGATGGGGGTGAATGGGTGGGGTGTTAGGTTTCAACTTCTTTCAGTAGTAAATTTTATTCAAACACTAGTACATTACCCTAATTTGATTATACTGCAACAAAAAGTGGGGGACGTCCTTTCAATGAACATTTTTAATAGTAAAAGTGGGGGGGGGGGGGGTAGGTCCCTGCATGAAAACAGATCGTTCTGTTAAAAATGGGGACTCATTTAGGTACTTTTTAAAAGCTTGTACAAAGCATACAATAAGTAATAAGACGTAATAAGTAAAGTAAATAAGTAATAAGAAAATAATTTGTATTTAAATGTAGGAGGGTTATAAATTAAATCTAGAAAGGGTATAATGTCCCGGTAGACAGATAGAGGAAGATTTTAAGTAGACTGACTTTGCCTGTTCTGGTGTATCACGATATACATGTAAGATAGGGAAAATACCAGTCTAGATTTAAAGTCGGGATTGACATTCATTAATATCTCTATTTTCCCAGAATGCATTGCGAACCAAATAGTTTCAAAATGGAGCACATAGCAATGGATGTTGTGCTCTTTGGTTAAAATATTTCAATTCTTTTCAGCGTGTAAGTGATATATGCTCTACTATAAATTATTTTTATGATCATTATCTTTTTCTCGGCATGTATTTTATAGAATGATATTTATTGTCCGGAAAACAGGAGTTGTAATTCTTGTTTCCAAGCAAGCGATTTCTTTTAATGTATTTAGTTTTGATGTTTTAGAAAAAAAAGTTTCATACAGACATTGCTCTTGATACAGTTAAGGCACTGCAAAACTGTACTTTAAGTAAAGTCTTACTCAGAAACAACGGCATTGCTTAGTTAAAATGAATTTTAGTGGCAGATGTATACAAATCCAATCAACACTGATCAATATATAGGAAACTCATCTCATGGCATATTGCTATGTCATATATACGAGTAATGCAGTGTTTGAGAGAATTAATAATAAACTTTCGTCATTCATTCTTTCACAGTAATGACATAATTGTAGCCATCAGGGCTTAATAATCCTTGCATCCAGGTCCATTAAAAGGACCCTGTCCCATTTGAAATTCACTCTTCTCCCCAAAAAAAATTAGGTAAAAGTTTGTAAATGACAAGCAGATTGAATTTTTCAGTGCTTGTTTATAAAATACTTGAATTTTGAGATTTTAAAGATTCATGGAGATATGATTAGCCTTCAATCTAACACTTTATTCAACAGTGAAAGTTAATTTAAAACATGAATATTTCCAAATTTTGACATTTTTTTCGATTTTAAATTCCCAACTGAAAAGGTACATGACTCTGTACCAAAAAGGGTCAATTAAGCCCTGGCCATGATACATAATAAGTTTTACAGTGCGACCATTGGGTAGAACGCAGTTGTATTTATTACTCTTGGGTAAACCATTAAAATCTTTTACCAACTGTTTACATACCTTACACTTTAACTTTGATCCACCTCTTCAAACTGCATGAGACCAAGTCTATACATGACATTATATTCTCCCTCACTTTGTTCGTTCGAATATAAATCAATGAAGTGCTAAATGAATAAAACACTACACATATTAAGAAGGAATGCTGCTCCTAGTACTTTTATTCAATTATATACTGCTAACACATAACCATAACACATTAACTAATACAACTGTATAGCCCAAATTCATTGCACTCCATTGCATCACTATCAGCCATACTAATCTCTAAATCCTAGCGAGCGAGCTTAGAGTGCCATGCTACCGCATGGCCTTACTATTTATACCCTATATAACCACGTGACTTTCAAAGAATCTTTTCGAACAGGCTACATAATACCATGCTGCACATAATTTTAATTATATAATGATTGTGCACCATCATTTAAAAAAAAGATTGTTTCATGTTCTCCAACTCATGTTTTCAAGGTTGGTAGTTAGGTAAGTAATTTTTTGGGGAGGTTGGGGTGTTTGTTTTTTTTAAGTATCAAACACATTGATAATTATCATTAAAATCACAGGCTAGAAATTGTGTTTTCATTTCATTGTATACATGGGACAACTAGACAGATTAAATATTTATTGCTGTGAAAACTTCTATTCCAGAAAGTGTCTTCAAGAAATGATAAGCCTTAACTTTTAAAATAATACATACAATTTGTATTTCCTTGGAACCCCCCCCCCCCAAAAAAAAAAAAAAAAAAAAAAATAAAATCTTAAGTACTGCCAAAAAAAAATTGATCAGGTAGGGGTGACTGATGGGTTGATCAGAGTACATCATATGAATCATTTTTTATTGTTGGCCTTAGTTAAACTTCCATAAATTAATCTAAATAGTGCAATTCTTTATAGAAAGACATTGTAGAGTAGTTGTAATTATATTTGTTTCATTTAAGCTCTGTAAGAACTTAATCTTAACAATAACTGTGGTACTGCTTTAAGCCATTTTCACACAGAATTGTGGTAGGGAAAGAATTTTGGGAAAGTTTTACACATATATTTGCTTAACGAAAGTACAAATTTTAGCTGGAAATTCCTCTGTTCTTACACGTTAGTCTATAGAGCTGGCTTCGCACTGCTCACTGCACCAGCTATAGATAAATAATTCAAAGTACCTTATTTGACATATGTCTCCAATCCTTTCAAGATTAGGTACAATTAATATTGCTTACAATATTGTGTTTACTTTAAAGCATGCCTCTGGTGTATTTAGGGTATTTTGGATGTATTTTTACTGATGTAAAATTTTAGTTTTTTGAACTAAGCAAAGAAAAATCAAAGAATTTCACATATCAAGTGAAAATGAGAGCAAACTAAGAAGACTTTTAAAAATAGACCAAGACTGCTACCCAAAGTTATTCTATCTTTATAACATGTTTAAATTCAATTAGTAAATATTTGAGTTTTGCTCAACAAGTTTATTTTACCTTTATTTTTTTTTTCCAGACTTGAAAAAATACAAAGCTAAACAATAATGGCAGTGTACTTTGATCATCGGTTGGATACTGACCGTTCAGGAATTAATGTTGACACCCAGTGGTTTGATGGCAGTCCAATCTTGGCAGTTAACACATACAGTGATGACACGGGTGGATCTGTTAATCTTTTTCTTGATGAGGTAACCCAATTCACCACTGAAATTCTTCATAAATAGATTTTAATAATTCATGATATGAAATAGGAATTCACCTAAAATATAATGTAAGTCTTATATTAAAGTAATACTAGAGGTGACATTAGATTCATAATTAAAAAACCGAATTGAGTGTCTTTATTTTAGGGAGAGAAGCTGCTAAATGTTACACTGACCCGTACGTGTCAAGCCACTTCTATGGCCTGGCATCCCACCAAGAAGATCCTGGCTGTAGGCTGGGACAATGGAGAGCTGTTAGTCTGGAATGAACATGATCATGAGTTGCATGAATCTCTTCCCTTACACAAGACCAGTATCACAGTCCTCGGCTGGAGTTCATCTGGTACAAGGCTCTCCTCAGGAGACAAGGTTAGAATGTGGGACATCCAATGATATTGATGAAGAATAATGTGTATAAATGATACAAGTCTTATTTAGGTTCTTATTAATGTTAGCAAATCACCTGAAAGTATAAATATCAAATTTTTGTTACACATTGATAAATTTTGGATAGGTAAATCAGTATTGTCAGAATTTTCAGTTTAGTTCTTTGAAAGTAATTGAAAAAAGTTTGGTGCCTGAAAGTGTTATTGATATAAATCACACTGTAGTCTGGTGTCTTAATGGTGTGGAAAGCTGACACCAAAGGTCGACTTCAACAGAATCCTCTACATCAGCATCACATACAGGAGCCACTGAAGATAATGTTGTATAGACCTGTACCCCCTCCAGACCCCAACAAGTAGGTCAACCATCAGGGGAAAAATAAATAGCAAGTGTAAAATGCAAGGATTAAAAATAAGGCCAAAAAAAAGTTTTTTTTATCTCTTTATTGATTTTTTATTTTAAAAAAAAGAAGAAAAAAAATTAAATGTGATTTTAATGTTAGATGAAAGAAGCAGACAAAATTTGAAGACCAGCTAAGATTTCTTCTTTTAGTTACAGTTCTTTTGAAAGATACATATTTTTTATAAACAGGGAAAAAAAACAAATATACCTGCTATGGCATTTAATAAAAAATGTAAAGAGAATTAGTATCTTTAAACATTCACTAAAATTTACTGTAAATTATTAGCATATGAAGGGAAAGAATGTACATGTATATTTATTCTAGTGATATTGCCCAGCTTGCTAGAGCTGCTGTCAGTGGTGATGAGAGTGCTTTGGATATGTTCAACTGGAAAAGAGGCAAAAACAATGCAAGAGGAGGGGCATCATTTGGAACTCAGGAGGCTCTGACATTTTTTGTTGGTGGAGCCACTGGTTTGTTACTCTTTGTGGTTTATAAAATTAATCATATACATTTGTAGATTTCTCTGTTCTATACAACTTTTAAAAAGAAATATTTGATCTTCAAACAGCTGAGTTTTATGGCTTTTAACTAATACGTAACATTTGCATATTTAGTTTCCAAGGACCATGTTGTGAACCTGCTTGTAATAATGCAGGTTATTTTCATGTGTGCATAAAGCTTTGACTTACCATTGAATATGCACTCAAAGATTTGGAAACTGATATGAAAATGATTTTATGAATGGGTGCTTGTTGTAGTGAATGAATTGATATGATCAGTACTATTGATAAATGTTCAGCATGAAAAATGATAAAGAAAAAGTGGTTCATAATGTGTCTAGATGTACTTCATTTTTGCACTTTGTTCATGGTAAAATCATTTCTATATGTCAACTCTGACCCCTTGGCTAATGAATAATGAAGAGCTTGACTGTTTCTCAAAACAACTTTCTGTACAAGTATTAAATCAATGTTTAAAATATATAATATAATCAGGATAAAGATTCTGATTGTGTTAAGTATATCAAAAAAGCAAAGCCATATTCCATATTCTAAAATAAAGTTACATGTATTTGCCATTTTGAGACCTTGTAAGCTAGTAAACTTTTATTCAAGCTGAAAACAAGTGACTTCTTATGTATTCAAATTTATGTATGAAAAAAAAACAATATGCAGTAAAACACGCATATAACGAAGTGCCAGGGACGGATGATTTTGCTCGTTATAAACATTATGTGTTATATCCGTTCAGAATATATTTTAAAGTCAATGAAAATCACTTTGCTGTAAGCATCAATTCATTGTAAGTGTGTATTTAATTTCTATACATTTAAGATTAACAGTTTGAAGCAAAACCATTCTGATTACTATGCTTCTAAAGAACTACTTAATTTCTGAATTCTTAAGGTGGCGTGTACTATGTAAATGATGCTGGCCAGTGCTCGCAGATCTTTAATGCTGATGGACCCGTGATGACCTTATTGCACTATGATGAAAAGAATCTCTTGATCACAGTCACAGAAAACATGTTGCTGACTCAGCACTTCATCACTCCAGAGGGGGAGGCTAGGGAGGTCATGAAGGTAGGCTCTTGTTAATTTTTTTGGTTTTGTTTTCTATAACTTTTAATTTTTTAATTGATAGATATATTAAGAGGATAGGAAAAAGGGAGGGAGGGAGAAAGTAGCAACCTTTTCCTTTATGATTTCTTCATGTTAATTTGTATTTGTTACAACTGTGATGTACTTATATAGGTTAAAATGAGTGGAAGAGGAGAGCAGCCTACTATAGTATGGGCAGGATCAGGAATCCTGGCCACAGCTCTTGGAGAAGGAGTAGTTAGGTAAAAAAAAAACATAAACAGGATTTTCATAATTTGTGTAAAAATTTGTGATTGCAGATTGTTGAGTTTTGGATTACAATGTAGAAATTCATTGTTAATATTAAATTATCTGTCCATAATAGGATGTGGGACCTAGAACATGAGGACAACTATATCCTCACACTGGAAGGTCACAGTAGCTATGATCATAATGAGAGTATCACATGTATTTCGTATTGTCCTGAAAAAGGTAAGGTTTATTTGAATAGAAAATATACATGGTATACACCATGCTAACATCTAGTTCAGAAGTAATCTTTTCCATGTAAGAATTTAGTAACCTTATTTATGTATTTGAAGTATTGATGTAATGTCAATTTTTATGTTGACAGGAACTCTGGCAGGGGGGACAAACATGGGAAATGTGGCTCTGTGGAAATACTCTCCTCCACTGGGAGGGAAGGTAGTAGACGGAGAACTGAAATGGAAACTTCAAGCTCCAGCTACAGTGGAGGGACCCATCAAACAAATCAGGGTACAGAATCATTGTATATAGTTTAGTAGCAGTGGAAAAGAATTACCTCTTGTTCCAAATAAAAAAAAATCTAGTGATTTTTTTTTTATAGACATGTGGAGAGAAGAGGCAAACTTAGAAAAGTTTTTATGTATAATTTTGATATGTGATATTAGTATACATACATGTAGCTTACTTTAACTTTTTTTGTTTCAGTGGGGATCAAACAAGCACCTTCTCGCTGTCAATACTATTGCCAATGTGTTCATGCTTAATGAGCAAGTGATGAGTGCAGGGTTTAAGGAACAGGTTAGTTAATCATTTAATTAAGTCTTTTTTATTGAAAAAAAAGGCAAAAGAGGATATGAAATTATTACCAATGCAGATTTGAGAAAGATATTTCAACTAATGTGTATTTTTTATGATAGACTGCAGTGGTTCAATATGGACCAAGTTCCTTATCCATAGAAATGTTTTCCAACATGGCTCATCATGACCTCAAGACAGATATCCAAGTGAAGGGCATTTTCACAACCAAAGTGAGTTATACTGAGTTACTTGATTATTGAGTAGGATAATGTAACAAAGATCTAATTCATTTCTAATTTGTTAGAGGAGAGAAGTTACATGTATATTTTATCAATACTTTCCTAGGATGCATTAGCAGTATGGAACGGTCGTAGAGTGATAACTTATGAGTATTCTACAGACAAGTCTTCTATCAAAGCTGCTGGTAAATATGAAATTAATTATAAATATAGTAAAACATGCTTATATTGAAGTGCCAGGGATGGACAATTTTGCTTCATGATAAACGTAATTCTTGTATCTGTTAAGTTCACAATATGTTTTAAAGTCACAAGGAATGAAAATCATTTTGCTGTAAGCGTCAGTTCTTTATAAGTGTGTTTGCTATAAGCAAGTTTTACTGAAGTAATAATGAAGGATTAAGTGTTTGTTTTTGTGTGTATGAGATGATAACCAACTGGAGGCATGTTATAATTCTGGCATAAGGAAATTAAATTTACATTTTTACATAACAGTTGCCATAAACCATTGGCAAATGTAAATATTTATTAACTTTGCTAAGTTAATAAGATAAGGACTTTGTCAAAAAAAAAAAAATTAAGAAGGCAAATACATGTATATTTACTGTTTAAGGTTCATAAACCCTCTGCTCAGTTATATAAAATGTTGCTTTAACCTTTTATGATTTTTCCGAGAGAAACATATTATGTAAGTGAAATACAAACAATTATATCATGGCTTGCGGGGCAAAATTAAACAAAAAATACATTTCAACTTGACAAATCTATAAAGGAATAATAGACATTTATGTCATTAAGACTTATCTTTCTTATCAAAGTATCAATGAACCTTAAATATGAATATAAATTTTCTGAAATACACGAGTAAAGGATAAACATTGTTGTTTTTTTTCAGGTACATTCACCACAGAAACCATGAATGTGTGTCTATATGAACAGAATGTCTACTGTATTGAAGCGATGAAAGTCCAAGTCAGAACACATCAGGTAAAACACACAGGACAGTTCTACTTATTTAACCATCACAGGACAGTCCTTTACATTTCAACATTTACTGCATGGAGTTTTATTTAAAAAAAAAAATTTAAAAAAAATAAAAACAAATAAAAATTTGTTATTGATGATAGGGTACAGTCAAACAGACTATAAACTTCTCAGAACTTGAGGGGCAGCCAGTCAGTATAGATGTTTGTGGAACATACCTGGTTATTGGAACCAACATAGGATTAGTACGGGTGTATGATTTATCCCGAAGGTAGGTGAAAGGTCTTGTCAGAGTTCTTATGATATCTCTACACGTAATATATTTGCATAATAATTTCAAGTTTAAGATTGATAGTGACTTATAAATTATATTTAATTTGTAGAGAGGCCAAGCCCCATAGTCAGCCCAGAAATCTAGGGGAGATTATTCCTGGATTTGGATCCATCATCTCCTGTAAATGTAACTGTAGTGGAACCCGAGTCAGTGTGTTGATCAAATCAGTGAGTCGGATCTCAGAATTATTGTGTTTGCATGTATTAAACAAATGATATCAAATCTTGATTAACAGTCAATGCAAAATGTAATTTTTTTCAGACACACTTGTGCCAGTCGTTCAAGATGATTTTTGGAGTTTTTTGTCAACTTTCCTTAAAAACGAACATTTAAAATTTTTCAGACACATGGCCACATTGATCCAAAGATGTATTTCTGGGACACAGAAGTGGACCAGGTCTCTTATTTTAACTTTGAGTCGGGTCGGGGTGAACAGGACGATTTCCCTCCCGAACAGATTGAGGGTGTAGAGGGGGACACAAATGATGCTGAGAGGTTTGTTAGTTTTTTGTTACAGTTCTTTAATGTTACTGAATTAAATTCAACTACATGTACATGGTTTTTATATCACAAAGTTAGCAGTAGCTTTATAAAGGTAGTAATTGGGTATTGATTTGTCACATTTTGTTTTTGTCCTCTCTTAGAAACTTAATACACATAATATACAATGCTATTACACATTATTTTAAAGAGGTAAAACTCAGGCTGCCAAAGACATTGCTGGCCGTTACCCAATGACACACTACTGGGATGCCCATGACCCCAAATTAATTGTCTGTGAGGCTAGAATTCTGATTGATGCATTCAACAAGAAGGAGAAAGAGGAAAAGAAGATTGTTTCCCTATCTAAAACTATGGATGATGGACCTGTAAGTGTTGTTGAACTTAAAGACTAATAAACAAATGTTATAACATGGAAATATTCAGATACATGCAATTTAGGCGAATACAAGAAAGTGGTACTGATTTGTGCATTATTGTTCATGCCTGACTTGTAAAATATTTTAAATCAAGTAATCCTGAGCAGGTAATCATCATACATTAGCATTGTAAGTAGATTGTATCACAGGATATACAAAAAAGTGATTCAGATGTAACAGTAGATAGCTTCAGGATATACAAATAAGTGGGTCAGATGTAATGGCTGATTTCACATCATAGTAACATATAAAGGTAGATTTTAATTTTTTTCAAAAAAAAAATTATCGAGAACATAAAAATGTGCATAATATGGTAGTTTTGTATACTTTGTTTGTAGTTATCTAAACCTGAAATTGTACTTTTACAGGTAGAGGTGATGATTGTATCATTATTCAGTACACCGGAGAATGGGATCCTTATTCAGGACAGTTTTCCTCTGCCCGATCAGTTCCAGACACTACTAGGAATTGAAGTCCCCTATCACTACTTTGTTAAAAAGGTCTGTTTGCTATAAGAAGTCAGTGTTAAAATGGGTTGAGTAGCCACTAATGAGAGGAGTGATTCCTATCAATATATATACTGACATCTGGGTTGTTTTGAAAGGTGAATGTCCTCAAGAGTGACATAAAAAGAAATTTTGAAATTAGAAACTGTTTTACAAGCATATCAGAAATTTTCATTTGCACTTTTCATGGAAGACAAAATAGCACAATAGTTTTGAGAACATCAATAAAGGAAAAATGTTCATAAAAAAGCAAATTGAATGAAGATTGAAAAAGATTTTGTCTAGAAAGGAGAACCGTATCAAAAAGAAAGTTGCATACAATGCTGGAAACTTATTATTTTAGTGGTAATCATATTTTAGCATCTCTCTCATTGCTTCTTGTCCACTTATTCATGTACAGGGTAATATATGATTAAAACTAGTAGAAGTTATTAAAGACTCAAGTGCAGTAATTAGTGATTGCTCTAATAAGTTGAAGAGGAAGATTGCACTAAATTTTTTTGTGCTTTAATTTATTTAAGTTTATTGTACATGTATATTGAACATAAAATAAGTCATTGATTTCATTTATCTTTAAAACTATTTGACAGAGATAAAGGTTTTTACATATGGAAGTTAATTTGGATAGTGTTGAACACAAGTTTTTCTGAGGAATCACTGACAATGGATATATCTAAATTTTTCATTCATAGTGGTCAGTTTAGTATGGAAAATGTATGTTTTTAAATATGAAAAAAAAAACAATTTATAGACTAAGGAAATGTTCGTGTGAGCTTAACTCTATAAATTTTTCTATTGAAAAATAAAGAATTTGGGAAAAAGTAAAGTTGTCCACGAACTTTACGGAGGACCATTATATATACACAATGTGATTACATGTACTATCATTTAATTTACAAATATGAAGAGATGCAAATGAAAGCTGTATCTTACATTTGCATTTGTGTTTGATTTATGATTCCAGTCAGAAAACACTGGTGATGAGGATGATGGACAAGGGGATGGTCCAAGACCAGAATCTTCATCCCCCAGAATGGTGGCTCGCAGGACCATGAGGGACTTTGTGGGACTCGAGAACAGTGACAAAAATACTAAAGATGCCATGCTTAACTTCAGTTACTACCTTACCATAGGCAACATGGATGAAGCTTTCAAGTCTATCAAGCTCATTAAAAGGTACAAAAGATGTCCGAGGAGAAGAGTTGCATAAGAATGTCATTGTAATTGTGAGGAGTAACATTTGAACTTTTAAATTTACTTTAAGTTAACACTTAAGTTAAGTTAAGTTTTTTAATATTGGGCATTTTCACTATTATTTTTGACAGAGCATGTACATGTGTCAAACATGTAAAACGTGTAGACGTCTTAGCAAACAGAAATTCTAGTAAAATATTCTGTATTTGTACACTATTTTATCATTACAGTGAGTCTGTATGGGAAAATATGGCTAAGATGTGTGTCAAGAGTCGACGGCTGGATGTGGCCAGTGTTTGTCTGGGTAACATGGGCCATGCCCGAGGAGCCCGGGCCCTGAGGGAAGCCATGAAGGAGCCGGAACTTGACGCCAAGGTGGCTGTGTTAGCCATGCAGTTAGGACTGAAGGTATGTTTTGGAAATTCAAATACACTGTACTAAGAGATCATAAGTACTTTATCTTACTGTATAGCAGGTTTTCTTGATGAGTGTAAAATTTGGCGTTTTGCCTACTCAAAGGTATGCCAATCATTTTGACATAATTTATTTTAGTGGACACAGGGTTTCATCTTTTTGCAGATGAACACTAAGAAGAGTACTGGATATTTTAGCAATTAAAGTTTAGCGGGCTACTATCAAAATGCCAAAATAAGCCAAAATTAGCACCTTGCTAAAATAACCCGCTATACGGTATAAGAGGAAGACACTGTACTTATAGGAGATCATAAATCCTTCCTCATCATTTGAGAGGAAGATATTAAATTCAATCCCTTGTCCTCCAGCGAATGTCTCTGTATTGTTATGAGCAGGGCCTTTGTTGAAATAAAAATAGAGATGTTCTATATCTGAGAAGATTTTGGGACACTCGTTTCTTATAGTCATATTGTAAATCTGAAGAAGTAGACAATGCAATCCGTTTCGAAAAAAATCAAGATTTGTCCTTGAACATCCAAGAAAAAAGTTCTTTCTTCCTAAAATGCAGATCGTTCAATTTCTACAATATACCAGTACATGTATGTCTTTAAAATCTTTATTTTAGGAAGATGCTGAGAGATTACTGAAAAACTGTAAGAGGTATGACTTGCTGAATGAATTCTACCAGTCTGTTGGAGAGTGGAAAAAAGCTTTGGAAACTGCAGAAATGTATGATCGTATTCACCTCAGGACCACATACTATAACTTTGCCAAGCATTTAGAAATGAAGGGAGACTACTCAGAGGCTATTCCAAAGTAAGTCAAGAGATTTATGATGATGCATATAAAAAGTATGCATTTAACTAATATTAAATTTTCCTTTAACTTTGCAGTTTGATTTAATTTGTTTTCAAGATGTACAGAATAGAGGAGTAATGGGTTTAAAGAAAATGTTACTAAGATTCCTATTTGTTTAGTTATCAAGCTTAATTGAATGTTTACAGTTACGAGAAATCAGACACACACAGATTCGAGGTCCCTAGAATGTTATTTGATGAGCCAGAAGCTCTGGAACATTACATCAGTATGCACAAAGACAAGTAAGTAAAAATAGGCATGGTAGATGTTGATAAAGATCATTCAACTCTCCATTCTTATCAAAATGCATGGTAAATTTCTAAGATTCTGTAGGATCACTCAGTTTCATGGTAGTGAAATAGATCAGTGCATTTGAAATGGTACACAAACTTTCTCTGATTTTCAGGGCATTACACAAGTGGTGGGCTCAGTACATGGAGAGCACTGGAGATATGGAGACTGCTCTACAATATTATGAGAATGCCCAGGATTATCTCTCCTTGGTCAGAGTCTACTGTTACTGTGGCCAGATGGACAAGGTAAGATCTATTTAGTTCTTTTTCATGAGAGTTCTGTGTTTGAAGGAGGTAGTTTATTCTGCAGTTCCATGTCTTCATTTTTCAGGCTGCTGAGATTTGTAACAACACAGGTGATCGGGCAGCCTGCTATCACTTAGGACGTCAGTATGAAAACCAGGATCAGATAAAGGAAGCTATTCACTTCTTCACTAGGGCTCAGGCTTACTTCAATGCCATCAGGCTCTGTAAAGTAAGCTCTACCATTTTTCTACTTCCTCATAAACACCTCAGGTTTTTGAGTTGCCTCAAATTATTAATTGGAATTAAGACTTGTGTTATCATACATTTGAACAAACCTTTTGTTCAGTTTTTAATAAAAGTACTTTGTTTTTTTTTTTCATTATGGTTATGATTGTATTTGAATAGGAACATGGCATGGAAGATCAGTTGATGAATCTAGCTCTAATGGGTCGACCAGAGGACATGATTGAGGCAGCTCGTTATTATGAACAGAAGCCAGGAGCTCAGGACAAAGCTGTTATGTTGTATCACAAAGTGAGTCAATAGGAAATCTGATCCTTTATAGTTATAATGAGAAGTAAACCAAGGTACAGGAAGGTTTAATTTAAAATTTCATGAGAATTTTAATAAATGATTACAGAGGGCTCTGATAGATATAACACCCTCTTTGATGGATTTTATGACTTACTGATTTCACATTTCTTTTTCCAGGCGGGTAACTTTTCCAAAGCTTTGGATCTGTCCTTCAGAGCTCGGCAATTTGGAGCACTGCAGCTTATTTCAGGTGAACTTGACGAGCGAGCTGATCCTGAGCTTCTGAAGCGATGTGGAGATTTCTTCATGGAGAACGGCCAATATGACAAGGCAGTAGATCTGTTGGCAATTGGCAAAAAGGTAGGATTGTTGTCAGATGAGGAAAATGATTGTGAACAAGTTTATATAGAATCCTCTCCAAATAGTTTTTTCTGTACATAACCTGAAATTTTAGAGAAATGTGCATTAAGCATTCACATTTTTCTAGTATTGGGAGGCATTGAAGATCTGTATGGACCAGACTGTGGAGATTAATGAAGACTTGGCTGAAAAACTGACACCCAGTAAGGACGATCCTGGAATCGACACGATGGAGAGGGTGAAAATCCTGGAGGCCATCGCAGAGGTGTGCATGCATCAAGGAGAGTACCATCTGGCCACAAAGAAATTCACACAGGCTGGAAATAAAATCAAGGTTAGTGATGTATGTAGGTAAAATTCACACAGGCTGGACAAATGTTAGTGATTTATGTAGGTAAAATTCACACAGGCTGGAAATAAAATCAAGGTTAGTGATGTATGTAGGTACCAAATCTGAACTCAAAGAAAGAGACCTGAAGTTCTAAAAACTATTATAAATATCTTTTATTTCAACTTCTAGATATGAAATATATTCAAAAATGAATTCAAAAAAATCTGCTACAATTGCATTTGATTTTGCTTGATATCAAGTTTTATCAAGTTTTATTTGTTTGCAGGCAATGAAAGCACTGCTGAAGTCTGGTGACACAGAGAAGATCTGTTTTTTTGCCAATGTGTCCAGACAAAAGGAGATTTATATAATGGCGGCTAACTATCTACAGTCGTTAGACTGGCGTAAAGACCCAGAAATAATGAAAAACATCATAGGATTCTATACCAAAGGGAGAGCACTGGACTCTTTAGCTGGCTTCTATGATGCTTGTGCACAGGTAAAATTGATTTTAAATTTTCTGTATCATGTCTGGAATTGGGAATTTTGAATACATCTACTTTGAGTAGAGACAAATATTTAAATATGAACTCGTATTTGACATCTCTTAAGCATAATTTATGAAGTGTAGGTGCATATTTCTCAAAATGTTATTACATGTAGTAGGAATTCATGTTGGGTTGCATGTATTGGTATAAATATTTAACTTGTTTATGTAAGGTGGAGATAGATGAGTACCAGGACTATGACAAGGCATTAAGAGCCCTGGGAGAGGCTTATAAATGTCTCACTAAAGCTAAAATGAATGATGAAATGCTACTAGAGGAAAGACTAGCTCAACTGAAAAATAAGATTGCTCTGATAAAGAAGTTTGTCACTGCCAGAAGGTAGGAGAATGAAAGACAGAAGAGGTTCATAAGGTCCTGCCTCTATCCAAATAATTCTAGTGCAAAAACTGCCTTCAATTTTGCTCATGCCTATTTAGTTATTTTATGGAAAATATTATTTTTTTTACCCTCTATTATTTATCCATTATTAAAATTAATCTCATTGCATTGTGCATTTCTCATTTTTTATTGTTTTGTACATATAAAATTGCAGGAAATATTGACCTTGATTTAGTTTTACAGAAAGTTTAGAAATTATGTATGATGTACTTATGTTGAGGTCAATCATCATCTATCTTTAGACCCCACTCCCCCATCCCATATGGAAAGAAGATTGAAGAAAAAATACAATTGTTGTAGCAAATCTGACATGGCTTTTTAATTTTTTTCTCTAGGGCATTTGAAGAGAATCCTGAAGAAGGAATAAAACAATGTCAGATTCTGTTAGAGGAACCAGATTTAGAGTCGGGTGTGAGGATCGGGGATGTTTATGGGATTATGATTGAGTACTACGCTCGTAGAGACAGGTGGAAGGCTGTAAGTATTGTAGAGATTCCTTTTCAAGAAACAGTGCAACACAGTTTAAGTTTGAGATTATATCATATACTGTGGGTTACAGCAGAAGTCATATAATTTTCATTTAGAAAATTCATAATAAATTATCATGTGTTTTAAAGGGGTCTCCTAGATATGAATTTTATTCACATTTTACCAAAGTTGTTGAACTAAAACCCTTTATTATACAGTTGATATGAGAAAGATGAGTGTGTATTTTCATTAATTAACAGGCACATGCTGCAATAGAAGAAATGAAGAGTAGAATTCCCAATGTAAACATAGGTTATTATGTCAATATGAGGACTGTAGAAGCAGTGTATCGTGCTTTGGACATTCCAATGGGGGATTTAAGTAGAGGCAAGATGAATGGAGTGATGGATGAAGAAGATGGAGAGATAGTAGAAGAGGAGGTTGACAACATATATGGACATGATGAAGTTTGATCTCCTAGGACTAAAATCTGGATCTGAGATGTTTCCATTCCATCTGATGTCTGTGATACTCCTCTTGTGTTGTGATACAACTGTGTTTATTGTTGCCATGGCAATTCACCTCATAGCTAGCTTTACAAACACCACCCTTCCATTTTCTTCAAGATCTGATTTTCCACTCAATATGTTTTTGAAAGATCTTTATACATTCAATTAGTAATGATTTTTCTTTTTGAATATTATTTTTGACAGATATGTGTAAAATTGTTTGTGCTATTTTTTTCAGCAAGTCCCAAAGTCTATTTTATTTATATTAATATGTATATGATAAGTGACATTTTATTTTTGATATTTACATAGTATGACATTGTCTTCGTGCAGTGTACCATATTTAGTCAAAAACAGTGGCACTGATTTCCTATTTGTAGAATTAGCATTCTGTAAGGTGAGGAATCCTACAAAATATGTTAATCCTGATGTACATTTATGTCAGTAATCTTATTTTGATCTATCACACTGCCAAGTGAAATCTAAACCCTTCTGTTTAAATATTTGGGGGGAAAAAAAGATTTTTTGAGGATTTCTGAATGCTGTGATGATTTGAAAAATCAGGAAATTAAATTGCATATGAGGCATTTTTTAAATATTTACTGGGTTGATCTGTAAAGAATTACTTGTTCTTGGTTTTTTTTTTTCCAAACTTTTACTGTCATTTCAGAAGCATACACCGTCATATAATCATGTCACTAAAGGAGGTGATGTATGCCAGTTTTTCTTTTGTTTTCCTGTTTGGGATTAGCATTCTTTATCAATTCGCATTCCTGGTTGTGTATTCATAATTTGGGTGGTTTTATCTCTTTAATAGTTATGTCAAACAGGGACTTCCCCTCAGCCTATTAAGTTTTATAGCTCATTTGAGCTTATTAGCACATAAAGCCATTTTTTCCTGCTTTTTATTTCAGCTGATTAGAGTTTTGATACCAGACATGCCCTACAACATTTGAGGTGTTAAGAAAGGCTGCTTTTGTTTTTAGTGACAAGTCAGGGCTTAATATCCATTGCATCCATGTCCAGTAAAAGGACCCAGTCCCAGTTGAAAATTCATTCTTTTCTCCCCTCAAAATTCAGGTAAAAATTCCCAAATGATAAGCAAGTTGAAATTTTCAGTGCTTTTATATTTAAAAAAAAAGCCAAAACTTGAATTTTGTGATTTTAATGATTCATAATGATGTAAATAGGGAGTAAGCCTACAATCTAACTCCTGAATCTACAGTAAAACGTAAGTTGTAAAAACTTCCAGATTTTGCCTCTTGTTCGATTTAAAATTCCAAATGAAATGGTACAGCAACCTGTACCAAAAAGGGTCAGTTAAGCCTTGTGAGTAACTCATTTGCATGATTTAAAGATTTCCATTCATATTTTTGGAAGTGTTCACCGTTTTATGTTGTACAGATGAGTATTTTTTATGATTTTTTTTTTTTTGTTGGTAGTAGCTAGGTTGTTAATTGTCTATTTATTGACCTTGTCAGCATCTTTGTTAGTGTTGTGATAATTTATATATGAATCAATGTCTGACAGTCTCTATAAATGGTGTGTTAGTGGGAGTGCAAGTCTCCAATGTGGATCTAGTGCTGATCACGTGACCTATGACATCAGGTCACGTGGTCAAGTGTAAGACTGTATTATGTCCTGTGACAGTCATGTAAGACTGTACGTTGTAATTGAGTAATATTTTAATAGTTCTTGTATCAATCTGGTGCCGTCCATTTTTCTTACTGATTTATTTTGGGAAAAGTATCATTTAAACATGCAGTAATAAATACTGGGAATGAAACCATATCTCTCTTTACTGTTTTATTATTGGTGCATTATGTATTTGAAGTCTTCCTCGAGTATCAAACTCAGTGTATCTTTAAGCAAAAGAACTTGAGCTTAATTTAGCAAAACGAATCAGTGGAATGAAGGACCACGGCCCTCTTCATAGGAGTTTTGTTTCCATTTCATCATAAAAGTTTTATGAATCAATGCATAGAATTTATGAAGATTGAGTATTCCATATCCATTTTTTAGTTCTTAATGTTATTTAGAATATGATAAAATTAAGATTTTTTTTTTAAATCAAGTACCTCGGGCCCTAAAGATGAATCGTATGAAAAAAAAATAATTCCTCACATAAGGTATATTTAATATCTTACAAATCTTGACCGGGAGGGTAGGGTGGGACCAAAATATGGGATGAAAGGATTACAAGAAATTTTCATTAATTTCTTGGAACTCTACGTCTCATCGCCCCCAGAGGAGCATAGACCATCGACGACACTCCTGAACGCGACTGTCTTTCTTGCCTCTGTTCAGGTGGTCCTTGTGTAATGGTGCCATTGATCACCCATGGAAGTCCTGCCAGGGGATGCGCTGCTACGGGCCTAGGTGTTTCTGGTCTTATTCCACTGCAGACACAAAATCTGCTTAACTATAGGTTAAGTATAGGACCGCTCTTCACTTCTGATCTTTCCTTCTAGCTGTTATTAACTGCTATGTCACTTTCGTCATCCTCCGTGTCTGAGAACTGTAGAGCAAGACAAATTTGACACTGGAATATTGAAGACACGCAATTTTGTTGCAACGCTAATTTCTCTCGAGGCCCAGTTGAAATGATCCTATTGCTTTGCAAATCCTGGCTGTGATGTTCCCCTCCCATCAAAGACACTTCCTAGGTAAACAAAGGATTCCACCTCTTATATTGGCACTCCACCTTGATATTACGATCGACCGACTTGACGGAAACCTAAAGTAATTCGAAGAGGATATATATGAGAAACCTTCCAATTTTGAATTTACAGCCATGCTCTATACCATTTCTACAGATATTAGTTATGATGTTATAAAACTTAGTGCCTACATTTGTGTCAAGTTATTTGGGCGCTTATCCTGTGTGGATAACAGTCAAAGGCTTTATGAAAGTCAAAATTGCATTATAAAACAATTATTAAAGAGATTATGTATACAAGGAATACTGGGTGTATTTTGGAATTTTTTTCGTTTAAGTTTTCTTAATTTATTGTACTCTCTAGGAAGGCTATGGTAACGATTGTTAATATTTGGATCCTTGGGAATTAAAATTACTATAAATATTGTCTTGTGTAATTAATCTTTGACACATTGTTTACCCTCTAGAAATAATTCTTTCCACCCCATCCCCATCCGAAACCTGGTATGAACCTATATAGTAGCCAAATTCACCAAAATTAATAAACATATAGTTGAACCAGTTTCCCAAGTAGAGTGCGGGGAGGGTGAAAACAGAACTGTTCGATATTTTACAACTTGTTAACAGTTGATACGATTGTGAATGATAATTTATGAACAGTAAACTATAATCAACGATTCATTAACTAGAGTTTTCACCCTAAAACTATATTTAAAGGTTGTAAACTGTAGTTTACGAATGTTAATCTCAGTTTATCTGTAAATAAACGTCAACTATATATATTTAACGGTTGTAAACTGTAGTTTTGAGAGATAAACTATTGCCCTGTTCACAGGTACAGAGGCTATTAAATGTGGAGTATTTTATTTTTCAATTGAGAAACTATTTTGAAAGTATATAAACGTTAATTCAAGGATTTCTTAGAAAGTACATGGTTTAGCTAAAGAAAAAAAAAAGAGAAAAAAATCTTTTCAAATTCAATCGAGAAGTCTGCTAAATAAATATATATGCACATATATTAGCTTTTTTTTTTTTTTTTTTTTTTTTTTTAACGTGAGTTTCAAGATTTCCACATCTAAAGTCAATGCATCCTTTTTGTAAGATAATGAATCACCTATTAGGTTCAAGCTAATGCTAAATCATTGGTCTTGTCGGGATTTTGGATTTTTGGATTTAGAACAAAAAAATCATGCTCGACGCAATTTCATCATTTTGATTCCGGATTGAATCCTTTTTTCATGATCACTTCACCGCAGTTATGTAAATTAATAGACGAAAAAGATATACTGAAAACAGTGATTGATTATAATTCTATTTAAAAAAAATTGTGTTACTGAATATTTTTGCCAATGAAAATACGTATGTTAATTATTCTACGAATTCAACATTAAAAAAACAACAACACATTTCTAGGAATGAAATTTCAAGCTTTTCTATTTACCATAACGTTCTTGTCGATTTTCTTACATGTCTAACTTGGGAACAATATTTCTATATATTTGAAATTTTTGTCAGACAACTGTAATGGTATTAGTAGTAATGCCCTGTAAACGCATCATATTTAATAAACGGTTTTTCGACTTTCAATCTTTTAGCCCCCCCCCCCAACACACACACTTTGGGGACTAAAACTAGACGTAAGATTTATAAATCATTTTTTATTGTTGGATAACTCATTTATTATACTTAATGTGAGGTTAAATTACATGCGCGGATCTAGAGGGGGTCAAGAAATTGTAGGGTTGGAAATTTTATTTGAACTGGGGTGGACCCCCCTGGAAAAAATTCCTGGATCCGCGCCTGAATTAAGTAACAAAACAGTTTCATAAAATCACTATAACTTCGAACTTTTAGAGTCTTCGCCACGAGGCCCCCACCCCAAACTCCCAACCGGTTTCCCCCCTCCTTCCCCTTTTTTAAGAATCATGGGTCCGCCACTGTCATGTAGTGCTATTAAATAAAACGAAAAGCAATTTGAAACTGGTAAACTTTAATGTCCTTGAACTCCCTCTTTTAATGTCCATAGACCAAAGACCGTTGACAAGCAGAGTATGTCATTCTTATCGATTTCCCCTCATAAGAAACTCTGACTAGTTTAAGTTTGACCTACTTCTTACACATAATGTTCGAAAGGCATACAAAAGCTTATTTTAACGTAATGAAGTACACATTTCTTTTAGCAGAATTTCAATTTGTTACAACAGAAATACCAGGAAAATATTGTTCCGCTTTTACTGAAGTGGGAATATTAATTTGGGTCTATCGGATCTGTCCGTCCGTTCTTCTGTTTTTTAGTCTGTCTGTCTGTAACACTTTTGTTTCCGTACGATATCTCAAAAAAAACCTTTGAGACTTTGCAATGAAAATAACATAATTCCCTTTATGCTAAAAAACACAGACCCTATTGATTTTTAGATAAAAGGTCAAAGGCATCTTCGTTAGCCAAGGGTTTTTGATCCGCTACTCTCCTCACAAACCCTGTCAAAAGTTGGGATTGTTTACGACACGTGATCTCGAATCTTCCAACATGCGCACAAATTGCGTCATCGACAAAAATTAAAGGCGTATTTGAAAATTAAAAGTTTTTAAAGAATAATTAACAAGAAGATATCGAGCAATGTTTATTTGTTATTTATCGTGCAAATCTACATCTATAATAAGATTCCTGTTCACAATATTTGTACATCAGCTTACGAATCGTTGTTTACTTGTGTTTATCATTCCCGAGACTAAAGAATCAAGATATATCCCAAAGGCAAACTATCATCATTTACAAAAGCAATTTCTGATTGGTCGAAAGATGTCGATCAACTCCAATCACAACTGGAGGAAAAAAACCAGCTTTTAATACCACCGTATGCCAAGGGTTTGTGAGGAGAGTAGCGGATCAGAAACTTTTGGCTAGCGAAGATGGGTCAAAGGTCGAGGTCAAAAAATTCATACAATCTGTCTGTTTGTTACATTTTCGTATCCGGATGAAATCTTAAAAAGCCTTTGAGATTTTGCAGTAAAATTTTATATTACAATTCCCTATGACCTAAAGAAGACCCATATTGATTTTGAGATTAAAATGTCAAGGTCAGAAATTCATATAATGCAAAAATATAGTTTCAAGGTGGTAACTTTTTAAAATTCTCTTTGTTTTTTTTTTCAGTGAAGTTACATACTCATTATAACTCATTGTGCCGTTAAGAAGTCCCCTTTTGATTTCTAGGTCAAAATATCAAGGTCAAGGTAAAAAAAATCATACAATCCCCCCTCCCCAAAAGAAAAAAAGATTTCCAGATAATAACTTAGTTTCCCTGAGCTTTTTCTTTGACATTTTATATCATAACTTCCAGAAACTTAAAGAAAACTCCTTTGATTTTAAAGTCAAAAGGTCAAGATCCAAAATTCTGATCTTATTCTTATCCATAAACACCAAAAACCATTATGCAAATCACATCTTAAAACCAAAACGCTTGACAATTATTCTTTAGATAACAACCATGCAGAAAGATTATCAAGGAGATCAGGAGAAGATAAAAATTTTCGTCGAAATGGAAGGGGGTGGGTAAATCTTCATTTTATTCATATTTAATATATCTTGGACCGCCTTTGGGCTCATAGTGTCCAGCCCTTAACACCCCCACCTCGAGGTCAATTCATTCTTTAAAAAGTATTTTAATTGCAGAATTTAGCATACAGTGCCGAATCTAGAAATTTCAGAATTCCGTAGTTATGAGATAACAAATACAAAATAATAAATTAATAACAAATACCTCGATGGTTACTATCTTTAGAACTAGCATTGAAGCTTGGCTTTCGTACTCTCAAGAAAGGACGCGAAAGCCAGTTCTTTTGATTTTATTAGTAACCATCGACATGATCGAGGTATTTGTTTTACGTCCTTTCGAGAATATTTCACGCCACCAATAACCGGTGGGAGACTGCAAATTTAGTGCAACCTATGGCCTTGGAGGAGTGAAGAATTTTTTTCATGCCACCATCTAATGCGACACGGGACCTCAGTTTATGTGCAGTGCCATTCGAAGAACCGGTCTCCATGTCCCACAGTGGGATTCGAATCCGCAACTTAAGGATCATCTCCATCCTCCTGCAAATCTAGAACGTTACTGACGTATCCTACT